TATATATATATATATATATATATAATACACCTTGTATTAGAAACTTTTTTATCAGTGTGATGTTGTGCGTGGAACAAACACTATCGGTTGTATCACTATCAATCGTGCAACATTGTTTGTAGCAAACCAGTTCTCAACACACCCTACGTCCTCTGATAACATTTCATATCTTCGATGCTGTATGTCTTGACCTGGAAGAGCTCTTCGTAGCTGTCGTAAATGTTTTGCAACGTCGTTAACCTTCTTACATCCGTCCTGCGATCAACGACTGTCGTCTCGTCGTCACTTGTCTGTGTGTACATGCAAATGGATATGTAAAAGTATATTAAACTATATGCCTATTAATATATATATATAAATTTATATTAAAATATCTCCAAGTATATGAAAATATTGTGTATTAGAATATCTTTTTTAGTACAAAATATATGAAAGTATACTTTTTCAAAAATATATTCAAATTGAAGTATACACACAATATATATAAGTTTATTCAAAACAACCAAATATTCAAGTATATAAAGTATATATACTAAAATCAACCAATCTGACCGAGATATACAACTGAGAACTAACATACAGCATGAATCGATCCATGCCACTTACAGCTGTGATGGGTGTGTTTGCTGTCCAGCGAGGGAACAGTGCTTTGAAGCCGTCGCTGAGTGTGTGCTCAGTTACAATCATGGTTTTGAAGCAGCCATGAACATTGCGCCTGGGATCACTCTGTACGAGATCGCACACATCCTGATTACGGGCAACGGATGAAATGTTCGTATTCACATGGGTAATCCTGATTACGGGCAACGGATGAAATGTTCGTACTAACATGGGTAATCCTGATTACGGGCAACGGATGAAATGTTCGTATTAGCATGGGTAATCCTGATTACGGGCAACGGATGAAATGTTCGTACTAACATGGATAATCCTGATTACGGGCAATAGATAGTGTATACATATGTATTGCTGATTGACTAGAAGCTGAATGACAGTAGCACGTACACAAGTGTAGCTAAAACTCTGAATCGCATACAATTTAATAGCAAGCACACAGTCATTGCGGCGCAGGTGCCGTTGTGTGGGGTGGTTACACATATACATACACTCCTGTGATACACCTACAGTACACACACATACAGGACACACGTACATATAACATGTGACACATGCCCACACACCCACTGACCTTGGCCAGGCGTATGGCCTGAGTCATGTCACTGTGTCGTGCGTTAGAGCCCACCCACAGATACACGGCGTAGTATGCGTCCACAACCACACAGTCGTTGGTGTTCATGTGCCGTTGGGTGAGGTAATCAATGGCGTGTGCACGTGGTTCGCCACTGGCGTTGTCGATCTTCCAACCCCTTTTGCAGTCGTCTGTGGGGAAGGGGTTTAGGGTTTTAGGGTTGTAGGTTTTGGGGTTGAAGTGTTATGCTATCTGTAGGTTAGTATTCAATGCCTGAGCGTGCCGGAGTACTTCGTCTAAAAAACTTTGTGTTCAAGTATGTGTGCGTGCTGGTAGTTAAAGTACATACCTATCCAAACTCACCACACTCACAATACAGTCAGCACCGATAGTACTAAAACACTAAGACCCTAAACCCTAAACACTAAAACCGGTCAAAGTAGATAGCACATCCACCCCAACACATTGACAGTGCAGTAAGCACTAATTTTACTAAACCTCTAAACCTTGAAACCCAAGTATATATACACCCATCCCAACATACTTCCAAACCAAGCCGAGGCCAAGGTGTCAATGTACTCTGTCGTTGGGCAGACAGTCTCTGTCCGATCACCAACCAGTGCTATCAGTTCCGCAGACTCAGCACCTTCATGTTCAACTACAACTTGTGTGGTCTGGTATGCGAAGGCGAGTGTGATGTATAAGGTGAATAGTGATATCTGGTATGGTTTATGGTTGTATGGGCAG